TTCCCTGCCTCCCCCCCCCCGCCTACCCTTCATGGATGAACTCCTCCAAGGCGGCGCACTCCGACACCAGCTGGGGCAGGTTGCTCTTCAGCACCACGTAAGACAGGATGGGAAGCAGGTCGTCGGCTCCGCTGCGGGGAGAAGGCGAAACTGACGCTGCGCGGCGCTGCAAAGGCCCCGTGCAGCACGAGATCGTGGCCGGACCAGACAAAGACTCCAGCCAGAGACAAGGAGGAGCTGCCTTCCCAAACTGGCAGCCCAAAGGAAGGGCTCTGGCTTCGCCCGCACGGAGGTGGCCAAAAGAGACACCTCAGGAAAGCAGAGCCCAAGGAGGGGAGCTGGGGAGAGGGAAAGGGGCTCCCGCAGTGGGAAGGGCTGGCCTGCTCAAGTGCTCCGTGTCCAAGCCGCCTTTGGGCTGCCCACCACTCCTGCTGGCCAAGGACCAGAGGGCCAAGGGGACTCTGAGGCAAGAGGCCGCAGCGGCCTGGCTGCCGAGCCCCGGGAGGTAGACCGATGGAGGCTCTCCCCCTCCCCGGCAAGGAGCCCGGCTTCTCAGAGGGGTTCCTCACTCACTCCACCGCCTGCCTCGCCTTCGCCCTCTGCCCTAGCCTCCAGGCCACCTCGCTCTCCCTGCCTCCATCCTTTTGACAGGCCACGCGTCCAGCTCCCCACCCCCCACCCCCACGAGCGCTGCTTCGCTGGGAGGGGCTCTGCTCCCCCTGCTTGGGGCTGTGTCTCTGGGAGAGAGCCCCAGCCCGAGGAGGAGGGGAAGGCCCTGCGTCAGCAACCAGCCCCCACGCTCTGGGCCGACACAGCGGGGAGTCCTCCTGTCAGAAGGGATCCATCAAGGCCAAGCGCCTCGCTGGGGGCCTCCTCGCCAGGCAGAGAGCGGGACTCTCTGGAGACCCAGCCGGACAGGGAAAGGCGGAGGGACTTGGGAAGGTCCAGTCTGGAGGAGAGGAGGTTGAGGTGGGACAAGATGGCTCTCTTGAAGTGTCTGAAGGGCTGCGTCACTCAGAGGAGGGCAGGGAGCTGTTCCTGTGGGCAGCGGAGGAGAGGACTCGCAAACATGGGTCTAAATTAAGGGTGGGGAGGGTACCGGCTGGATATTTACAGTAAGGGTTGTGCAACAGCGGAATCGGCTGCCCAGGGAGGTGGTGAGCTCCCCCTCCCTGGCAGTCTTTCAGCAGCAGCTGGACAAACCCTGGTCAGGGATGCTCTGGGCTGATCCTGCATTGAGCCGGGGGTGGGACTAGACGGCCTCTAGGAACCCTCCCAACTCTGTGATTCCACTCTACTCTACGGCTTGCTTAGCCACCAGGGATAGATAGGAACTCTCGGTCTGGGGCAAGGGATGCTCTGTCTTCTTGGTGCCGGGGGGGGGGCAACAGTGGGAGGGCTTCTGGTGTCCCAGCCCCACTGCTGGACCTCCTGGTGACCCCTGGTATTTTTGGCCACTGTGTGACACAGAGAATGTTGGACTGGATGGGCCTTTGGCCTGATCCAACATTGGCATCTCTTATGTTCTGCTGAAAAGGAAAAGCTGCCCCCCCCCACGCTCCATAAAGCACCAGACATCCCTCCCCATACACCGTTTATGCCGTGGGGGCTGTGGTACTCTACTCACATGGCCGCTGAGGCTGGTTGGGCCTTGCCTTCTCGGCTGCCCCAGTATTCTTCTGCACATTCACAGATGACGCGCAAGGCCCGCACTGCAAAGGAGGGAAACACACGGGGTGATGGGGGGCGGGGGGGGGACTTCGCAAGACGAACCAGTGGCTTTGCTCCCGGGAACAGCGTCTGGCTCCCGGAACCCCCGCCCCAATCCACACGGCTCCCTCCACACCACAGGGATGGGAACTGCTCCCACGTGTCTCCTGCTCAGCCCACTGCTGAAGGCAGACAGCCGGTCTGCAGCCCGTGAAGCAAGGCGTCTCCTCACAGAGAATGAAGGAAGGGGGAGGCTTGGGGAGGCCTGTAGTTTGCTGTGCGGCTGCTGGACCCAAGCCCACCCCGGCGGGAAAGGCACAAACCTCCACCCTGCCGAGTGGATGCCCCCAAACTGACTTCTTGGAGAGAGGGCAGGCAGGTTGCAGCTCATGGCCATGCAGGGAGCACCTGAATCGCGGGCTCTGGCAGCCAGGGAGGCCGGGGGAGGGGGTGACAGCAGGCAGGGATTGCCAGCGACAGGCAGCCGTCGGTGGACACACAAACCCTTCTGCTGCATGGAAAATTTTTAAGCATTTATCCCTGCCTGGGTTCTCCACCCACAGGGCTCCCTTCTCCAACATTCTCTTCCGTTGTTGAGGAGGCCCGGAGAGGGGGCGGACACAAGAAGCTGCCTTGCGCTGAATCAGACCACCAGTTCATCAAAGTCACTGTTGTTTACGCAGACAACTGCTGGCAGCGGCTCGCCAAGGTCTCAGTCAGAGATTTTTTCCAGTAACTCGTGGGCACTCCATGAAATTGCTGAGCAGTCGGGTTAGAACAGATAAAAGGAAGTACTTCTTCACCCAAAGAGTGATTAACACTTGGAATTCACTGCCACAGGAAGTGGTGGCGGCTACAAGTATGGACGGCTTCAAAAGGGAATTAGATAGGCATATGGAGCAGAAGTCCGTCTGTGATTCCACTCTACTCTACGGCTTGCTTAGCCACCAGGGATAGATAGGAACTCTCGGTCTGGGGCAAGGGATGCTCTGTCTTCTTGGTGCTTGGGGGGGGGCAACAGTGGGAGGGCTTCCAGTGTCCTGGCCCCACTGCTGGACCTCCTGATGGCACTGGTATTTCTGGCCACTGTGTGATACAGAGTGTTGGACTGGAGGGGCCTTTGGCCTGATCCAACATTGGCATCTCTTATGTTCTTATGTACCTATTACCCTATTCGTTAACGGGAGATGCCAAGGATTGAACCTGGGACCTTCCGCTTGCTAAGCAGAGGCTCTTCCACTGCCCCACAGCCTTTCCCTGTACTCATCGACTCTAGGAGTTGTGGGAGCTGAAGCACCCCGCAGCCTGGACTCAGAATACAGGCGCGATGAAGGCACTGCAGGGAACTCTTCTCCCCAAACAAACTAGCAGATCTAGGCTCCGTATATGCAGACGGCCCTCCTGCAAGCCCTTCTGAGGTCTCTGCGGTATCAGCAGCTCCCCCTCCTGAGGTCTCTGCGGTATCAGCAGCCCCCGCCCCCCGCCCATCCACAGCCACAGCTTGGCTTGGGGACACAGCCCCTCCTTTAAAAAGCCAGCCAGCCCCGCCAGGAGGGAAGCCCTCACCAATGCAATCCAGCTTTTTCTGAGGACAGGTCCCCAGGGGGATCAACATCAGCTCCTGCACGGCGGCGCAGTAAGGGTAGGACCCAATCCCCCGGGGCAAACTGCCCTGGGGGAGGAGCTTGGCCGAGATGCCCATTTCGGAGGGGATGGTGTTCCTGTAGAGCTCCATGCTCCTGGCAAGGGCCACCTCCCGGGTTTTGTAGACGTTCCTAAACGGGAAAGAAAAACGGAGGCACCGTAAGGCACAGGAGAGGGCCACTCTACTGGACAATCCCAAAGAAAGCCAGATGCCAGCCCGGACGCATCTTTGGGACATTCGGCACATCGCGCAGGTTAAACTTCCCCTCTCCTCCAGAAGACCAAACGCCTTTCCCTTTTAACTCAGAGCAAACAGCGCCTGGCTAATGCCCACACCCACCACTACCACCACGCAGGATGCGCAGCTGGGCAAACATGCACCCCCAGAAGACGCTAGGTGAAAACGCCCATTGGGCTACCAGCATCCCTGCCAGGTGGCCCACGCGGGCACCCTCTTACCTGTACACGGCCAGGAGCGGGGTCCAGAGGGGAGCAAAGAAGGCTTCTTCGAGGCGGGCCACACACTGGTCCTTGGCGGCAGCCGTGTTGAGGCCCTCAAAGGCCAGCAGAGTCAGGGAAAGCAGTCTATCTGGGGAGAGACGGGTGTTAGACAGAGCGGGCTGCAAAGAGGTTCCAGGCCCAGACTCCCAGCGGCCTTCCCTGCCCTGCCATTTCGGGCTGCAGGGGCTTTGGAGGAGCTACCAAGCCCGTGGGGAACCTGGCAAACAGAAGGCATTGAAGCCACAAGACTTTGCAGGGTGTGTGTGTGTGGTGGTGGGGGAACAGACAGAGACCCAGATCTAGTAATCTAAGGCAGCTACTGTGTGGGTACCTCCAGCACCCACTTGCAGGCTTCAAGGGTGAGGACTCCAAGGAGACTGAGCTGCCCTTGCACATCCGGAATCACACAATCACAGATTTGGAAGGGGCCATACAGGGCATCTAGCCCAACCCCCTACTCAGTGCAGGATGCTGTGGATGAAGAATGCAGACCTGGAGGAGCCGAGGAGCAGAAGGAGGCAGCCAGATGTTCTGGGGGCCTGGGGAAGGCCGAGCTGGAAGGGACGCCTCACAAAAACATGCCTCCTTCTACAAAGATGCTCAAGGCTTGCTAAGTCTTAAAAGCAAGGACTGCCGCCAAGTGTTTTTAGAAAGTGGGGCCTTTGCCCAGCGAGGATTCTGATTGGCCACACAGCTTTTCAAAACATGTTGCTTTGGCAACAGCCGCCACCACAGCGCACAGACCAGGCAACTGAAGGGAAGTTGTGGCAGCCATTTTGTGGCTGTGCCAAAATCCCAAATGGCGCCTGTCTTAAAGGGTCCTAAAGCATGGGTGGGGAGGGGGGCATCTTTACCAGGACCCTGAAATCCAGTGTTCCCTCTAAGCTGAGTCAGTGTGAGCTAGCTCAGAGTTCCTTAGCCTCCGGCTCACACATTTTTGTCTCCTCTCAGGAAGGAGGGCTCCAGAGCAAACTAATTTATTCAGCAGCCGAATCACCTGCTCACAACTTTAATGTCGGTAGCTCACAATGTGGAATCCTTGCTCGCAAGACTCCACAGCTTAGAGGGTGCATTGCCCTGAATCCCGACACGTGTGCCTGGAACACCTTCCCCTGCTTCCCGAGCCAGCCGTACCGCTGCCCACCTCTGCCCCTGGGCCCCCCTGCCCAATTCAGCCCTCACCGATGGCGTTGTGGATGTCCTTCACCACGGCCTTCAGCTGCTCCTGCTGGCACGCCTTCCGCCCCGCTGGGGCCTGGGCGCCTGAGGGCCACGCCTCGGGTGGAGTGGCCAAGAACTGCTCCAGGTCTTCGAAGGAGCTCTCCCGGTCGGCCAGGGGGGAGGCCGGCTCTTCCCGGGGGAGGCCGGGCCCCAGCGGGGGGGGCAGGCTCGGGCTCTGGTCCTCGATGAGGGGGGTGCTGGAGAGGCTGTGCCGGAGGTTCAGCTTGTTGTTTTCCTGGACGGAGAACATGGAGTGCAGGCTCTGGGAAGACCGCAGCCTCGGGCCCTCGGGGGCCGGCGCCAGGAACGCCTCGGCATCCAGCGAGGAGGAGAGGGACCGCCCCCGGGTGACCTTCCCGGGAACTCTCCGGTCTGCCGCACTCCGGCTCACCAGCGGGTAGATGCGGTTGTAGACGGAGCACTGCAGTTTCTTCAGCAGCTGGCAGATGGGGTGATCGGCAAAGCTGCAGGGAAGGGAAGCGAGGGGGGCACACCTGGCATCAGGACAGGGACTGGGGGGGCAGTGTTCCCCCTAAGCCGAGTGAGTGTGAGCCGGCTCACAGTTTCTTAGACTCCGGCTCACACTCGTTTGTCCTAGCTCAGGGAGGAGGGCTCCAGAAGAGCAAACTAATTGATGCAGCGGCCAAATCACTTGCTCACAACTTTAGTGCCAGGAGCTCACAGTGTAGAATTTTTGCTCCCAAGACTCCACAGCTTAGAGGGAGCATCGCTTGGGGGCAGTATCAATACAAACCGCGCGCTCTTTCTCTCGGGAAGGATGGTCACAAGGGGCGAATGAGTGCTTCGTTGTTTTTTTTATCACTTCATTTATACCCCAGCTTTCTCCCCAATGGAGACCCACAGCAGTTTGCCTCACTCTCCTCTCCTCCATTTTATCCTCACAACAACCCTGTGAGGTAGGCGAGGCTGGGAGTGTGTGATCGGCCCAAGGTCACCCAGCCAGCTTCTGTGGCAGAATGAGGGTTCAAACTTGAGACTCCCAGCCACTCAAATTAGCCACATGTAAATCTGGGCTATTTTTGAGAAACGTGTAAAAAATAAGCTTCTAGACCTCATGATTGCCATGGTTTAAACTTAGATCTGTAATCCACAAGAATAACACACAGTCCTAAGACAGTCTGGTATGGAAAAATATACAGTGTGGGTCCATTTTACTTTGGCAGCAGCATCAGCACGCTTGGAAAGAAGTGAGGAGACCTTGCCCAAATAGATTAACAGAAAAATCAACGAAAGTGTCAACTTGAATGTAAGACTGCATGTAAGGTTCCTATATAGGATTTGTTCCTGAGGAAAGACCAGAGGTCTGAAACACTTAGATATCCGGAAAAAGTGCTGACTGAAAGAGAGACACAGATTGATTGAATTTGGAGCAGATTGCTTTTGGGAATTTGGATAAGGATACAAGACTGTTAGAGGGATATAGACTGAGAGAGTCCGGAGCAGACTGCTATGTAATGTTTTATCGACCTTTGGATTTTTTCTATGAAGGAATAAGTGGTTGTTTTTTATTACCAGACACTAAGTCATGTTACAGCTTTAGTCTCTTTTGTTATTGTATTGTTCTGTGGGCATCCAGCACACATCTGTATCTTTTTTCATACCAGACTTAAATGTAGATCTGGAAAGCAAATATTTTTTTAAGTCTTAAAAAAGCTTTTAAGAGCTGCTCAGGCACGGGCGTCTTTGAAGCTGGGCGTCTCCCAGCTGCCGGGTAGCTGCCAAGAACAGAGTATCTGCCCACGCCTCTCTGAGCCAACGGGGACCAGCAGGGGTGGCGCTGCTGAAAGGCCCCCTCCTCCGCCTGCCTTTCAGGCCCAACTCCCAGCCCTGCCGCTCTTCATCTCAGCCTTCCAGCACCCCCAAGGCTTTGCCACAAAAGACCGCAAGGTCCAGAAGGGCAAAACTGGCCAATGAAACAGCTGAGGGGCTGCAGGTGAGTCCCTGGATCCTTACCTGAGAAGATGGGAGATGAGTTTGGGCACCAGCAGCAGATCGTTGGGGTTCTTCTTCAGCTGGACCTTCCAGAGCCTCGGCCACTCCTGTGCAAGGGAAAGCAGAGGACACCACACACACACACACACACACACACACACACACACTCCGTTCAGGCCAGGGTGCAGCCTGACGTCCCTCCCAGCCCGGATGCTCTCAGACTCCCTGCATCACTGCGGGTGTGTGTGTGTTTCCTGAAAAGCCTCCCAGGGGCCACAATAACAGCAGGCCTGTGCTGCAGGAAGCAGCCAACTCTCCCCCCACCTTGGGTCACCTGGCAGGCAGGGATTCCAGGCTAGAAGGGCCTGCGGTAGGGTGCCTGCTCCCCGGTCCATCAGTGGCTATTAGCCACAAGGTATAGATAGGGGCTCTGGGGCAAGGGATGCTCTGTCTTCTTGGTGCTTGGGGGGTGGGGGCAACAGTGGGAGGGCTTCTGGTGTCCTGGCCCCACTGCTGGACCTTCTGATGGCACCTGGTATTTCTGGCCACTGTGTGACAGGCAGAGTGTTGGACTGGATGGCCCATTGGCCTGATCCAACATTGGCTTCTCTTATGTTCTTATGTCTGGGGCAAGGGATGCTCTGTCTTCTTGGTGCTTGGGGGGTGGGGGCAACAGTGGGAGGGCTTCTGGTGTCCTGGCCCCACTGCTGGACCTCCTGATGGCACTGGTATTTCTGGCCACTGTGTGACACAGAGTGTTGGACAGGACGGGCCACTGGCCTGATCCAACACTGGCTTCTCTTATGTTCTTATATGGAGCAGAGGTCCATCAGTGGCCATTAGCCACAAGGTATAGATAGGGACTCCCAGTCTGGGGCAAGGGATGCTCTGTATTCTTGGTGTGGGGGGGGGGCAACAGTGGGAGGGCTTCTAGTGTACCGGCCCCACTGCTGGACCTCCTGATGGCACCTGGCGTTTTTGGCCACTGTGTGATACAGTGTTGGACTGGATGGGCCACTGGCCTGATCCAACATTGGCTTCTCTTATGTTCTTATGTCTGGGGCAAGGGATGCTCTGTCTTCTTGGTGCTTGGGGGGGGGGCACAAAGTGGAGGGGCTTCTAGTGTCCTGGCCCCACTGCTGGACCTCCTGATGGCACCTGGTATTTCTGGCCACTGTGTGACAGGCAGAGTGTTGGACTGGATGGACCATTGGCCTGATCCAACATTGGCGTCTCTTAGGTTCTTATGATCCGGTCCACAGCACCACTGGAAATCTGAAGCCAGAAGAGAGTGTCAAGAAAGACCTTTCTCCGGCCACTCACTGCCAGGCAGGGCGGAGGAGACGGGGCTCAGTCAGACTGCGTGGAAGGCCATTTCCACAGCATTGCCCAGGGGGCTGCTCAATAACCTCAGTCTATTCCTACTGCTCTGGAGGTGTCTCAGCCTCTGCCCAGCTCCCACAGCCATGTCTCTCTGTCTGGCACCCCCACCCCGTCCTTCCCAAAAAAGGACACGTCCCTTAACGCTTGACTCTTGGTGGCACGTGGCGCTGGGCACCACTGCCGCCACGGAAAGGGCTTCTCTTGCACAACCTGTCTTTGGAGCCACCCGACACGTACGTGGTCCTGCTCGTACTCCAGGATGGCAGCGTAGATGGCCCGCTGCTCCTGCTCTTCTGGGGTCAGCACCGCATTGCTGGAAAACCTCCTGAGGGGTCGAGCACACGCAGAGAGGGGCCGGGGTCAAGGGAGAGGAAGGCTGCGGGAGGAAAAGGCCCGCCGGTCTCCGCTGCCCACGGAGAAGACCCGCCCAGCACGGCCCACTTGCCTGTTGGCGGCTTCCTGCAGCCTCAGCCGGCGCTCCTCCATCTTCCTCTGCAGCTGGGGCAGACGAGAGTTAAGGCGACTACGAGAAATGCCTGTCCATCCTCCCAAAGCACCCAGGCACCTGCGGGCTGTCACAAGGCCAGCACCCTCAACCAAGGCTCCCTCTAAGCTGTCGAGTCTTGTGAGCAAAAATCTACTTTGTGAGCTACTGCCATTAAAGCTGTGAGCGAGCGACTTGGCTCCTGCATAGATTAGCTTAATCTGGAGCCCTCCTTCCTGAGCTGAGACAAAAATGTGTGAGCCGGAGGCTAAAATACTGTGAGCTAGCTCACACTAACTCAGCTTAGGGGGAACACTGCGGCCTCAACATCCCCCCTGTGGGCATCGTGGGCTCACAGCCAGGAAGTGGGCTCACTATGTGCAATTCTGGTCACCACACCTTAAAAAGGATATTATAGCTTTGGGAAAAGTGCAGAAAAGGGCAACTCGAATGATAAAAGGGTTGGAACAATTTCCCTATGAGGAAAGGTTAAGGCGCTTGGGGCTCTTTAGCTTGGAGAAACGACGACTGAGGGGTGACATGATTGAGGTTTATAAGATTATGCATGGGAAACAGCAGGTAGAGAAAGAGGTACTTTTCTCCCTGTCTCACAATACAAGAACTCGTGGGCACTCCATGAAATTGCTGAGCGGTCGGGTTAGAACGGATTAAAGGAAGTACTTCTTCACCCAAAGAGTGATTAACACATGGAATTCACTGCCACAGGAGGTGGTGGCGGCTACAAGCATGGACGGCTTCAAAAGGGAATTAGATAAGCATATGGAGCAGAGGTCCATCAGTGGCTATTAGCCACAAGGTATAGATAGGGTCTCTGGGGCAAGTGATGCTCTGTCTTCTTGGTGCTTGGGGGGGGGGCAACAGTGGGAGGGCTTCTAATGTCCTGGCCCCACTGGTGGACCTCCTGATGGCACCTGGTATTTTTGGCCATTCTGTGACACAGAGTGTTGGACTGGATGGGCCTTCGGCCTGATCCAACATTGGCGTCTCTTATGTTCTTATGACACACAGGCAACTGAAAGGGAGGGGGGGCTCCCACCTGCTGGCCCCTAGGTTGGGAAGCAAGTTGGGGAAGGATCCCCAGGGGAGCTAAAGAGCAGATGGGCAGCTGTTCAACGGAAACCTTACCGGGTCAGCCTTTATGGGTCCAGGAGAAAGCAGGCGGAGGGGCTTCAGAGCCCGAGAGGGCTCTCCCCGGGCCAAGGGACCAAGGCTTCCAACTCCCCTGCCCTCCGCAGCACTTCCTGGCCCTGCTGGAAGGCCCCCATTCTCCAGAGTCTCCTGGCAGACACCAGACTGGCCCTTCGTCCAGAGGACAAGCCCCCAGCCCCCACCTGCCGGGTAGCTTCTCACAAGGCCGCCCTGCTTGGCCAACGGTAGTACTTGGGCTCCCGTTCAACTCAAGGCTTCCTGGGCAGTAGGAAGAAGCTGTTCTGCTGTAGAAGACCCCCTTGCGATGGCTTGGAACTTTCCACACCAGGCCCAGGCCCCTCCTCCGCGCCAGCCACAACTGTCCAGGCCCAGCCAGGCCCCCCACCCACCCCAGCTTTGCTCCCCCATCCTCTCTGCAGCTTCCCGGCAGATACTCTCTGATCACTCAACACTCTTCTTGCATCTTGCAAATCTCAGTACAGTGAAGGCCCAGCACAGGGGTGTCAAACATAAGGCCCGGGGGCCGGAACCGGCCTGTCCAGGGCTTTTATGCGGCCTGTAAGCAACTAGCGGAAGGGAGGGAACAGGCGGCTGCTGGGGGGGGAGTGGGCGGAGCCACTCCGATTGTGGTTTCAGCAGGGCGGAACAGCCTCGTCTGCAGCAGTCAAGCAGCGTGGGAGCGCCTGCCCAGCGCTGCACCACTGGCTCTCCAGTCTGCCCATGTGGGTTTTCCTTTGCCCCCCCCCCTTCTCAGCCTATGAGGCCTTGCAGCGAGGATACACCAACTCGGAGCTTCTTAGCTGCCGTCCTTTATACAGTTTGTATCTCCGGTACCTGGCATTACGTTTATGGCACACGTGGCCAGGCCTGACAAAAAGTCACATTTATGTCAGATCCGGCCCTTGTAACAAATGAGTTTGACACCCCTGGCCGAGTGTATTCATAGCCAGGAGAGGCTGCAGACTCACAGACGCCTCCCCCCCCCACACACACACACCAGCCCTGGGGAAGGCTAAAAGGGCCTGGAAATAGACACGCAGGCCCAAGAGGTTTGTCTGGTGGTCCGGACCGCACTGCAGCACCAAGACGGAATGTCTTGCCACCGACGCAGCTCTTCAGGCTTAGAGCTGGGTCTGGATCCAGCACTCTCCGAGGACGGTCGAGGAACAACTCAGGAGCCGAAAAGGATACCGTCTCCTCCCGGGCTTTGGCGATCACCAAGTTCTCCATCATCTGGCGCTGCAGGGAAAGGGTCTGTGTGGCAGAGAGGACCCCCAAGACACCAGCTCATTCGGTTGGAGTGAAAGGAGCTTGGGGGTGGGGGAGAAAAAGGGCTCCAAAAGCCTCCCCATCAGCACAGGGGCGAAAAAAGTCCACCCACCCAACACTGGCCCGGGGGATCAGGTCTCGGAGCAACAGCAAGAGCTGCAAGCCAACCGCCGGAGTTTTGTCTTCCCCTTGGGAACACCCCCTTCCCCATCTCTGCATCTTTCAACACGGGCACGGAGCGAGCCCCAAATCCTGGAGTAGACCCAGTGCCCTGCCCGGCCCCCCCATCACACTTGCCAGAGAGGTCTTTTGCAAGGCCTGGCTGGGGTTCAGCCTTGCCAGCCGGGCCTCGTAGGCAGCCTTCAGCTTCTGGTTCTGCAGCGATGCCTCCTCCAAGGGGGTGAGCTCCCTACAAGGGCGTGAGAAGTGCTTGAAGGGGCTGCACTTCCCCGGGGCACCCACAGGGTCGCCCCGTCCAGTTCAGGTCCCTGCCAGCCTGCCCCGCCTGCCACCGATGCTCCGACCAGGGCCACGTGCTCACTTTTTCATACTCCGCACTTCAGTTGTCTGTAGCTTCTGGAACATCTCAGGGGGCAGGAAAGGGGACAGTTTCCCCCCTTCGTCTGAGAACACCCTGCGGTGCCGGCAGACAGGAGCAGGGCCCGGACTCCTCTCGGTTGACAGTTTCACCTTCACCCGTCCTGGAACCAGAGAGAAAACGAAAAAGCAGCTGAGCCAGTCACACAGCCCTGGAACCTTTCCACCACAGCCCTGAAAAACAAGCTGTACACCAGCATCTGCATGGCCCCGGTGGCTGCCCTGCCTCTCCCCGAGTTTGGGCAGCAAGATCAAAGACCCCGGCAGGGCACTGGGTGTAGGCAAGCTGGGAATGGCCTCGACCCATGGCTGGTCAGAAACCAATGTCCATCTCAGAGTTCAGTAGGGATGCATTGGAAAGGAGAAGGCCACAGAGGAACAAGGAGCCTGATTAGACCATCTAGCCCACGCTTCCTGTGACCCTTCTGGCTAAAGATGGAACCCGAGTCCCTGGATGACCCCTCTTCAGGGCACGATGGCCAGACAGGCTCATGGGAAAAACTGAGTCCCAGATGTGGCAAGCCCAGGTGTCCCTTTCTAATGGGGAACCCGCCATCAGACAGAATCCAGAGACCAGAGAATCACCAGTCAATTGTTGCTCTGTGTAACTCGAGATTCACATCCTCATGGCTGCAGGCAGGAGTCTCCCTCTTGCAAAAAGAAATAAATCCTAACCTGACGCAGACCCCTGGAGCTAGGAAGCCACCCAGTTCATGTGAGCCTGCTTGCTTTCTCCAAGGGCAGCATTTGGAAATTGAGATCTGGCGCCTTTATGCATGCATGGGAGTGGGGGATACATATAGTCTGTGCATGGAAGAAGAAGAAGATTTATACCGTGCCCTTCGCTCGAAGTCTCAGAGCGGCTTACAAACTCCTTTCCTTTCCCCTCCCCACAACAGACAGACACCCTGTGAGGTAGGTGGGGCTGAGAGAGCTCTTTCAAGAACTGCCCTTGAGAGAACAGCTCTGACAGAACTACGGCTTGCCCAAGGTCATCCAGCAGCTGCAAGTGGAGGAGTGGGGAATCAAACCCGGTTCTCCCAGAGTAGAGTCCGCACACTTAACCACTACACCAAACTGGCCCTCAAACAGGAACAACGGCTTTCACCGAATATTAGCCTGATTCCTCATGCAGCGGAAAATTAGGGCTCTTCTCAAAGAGATGCATTCTTCTCCTTGCCCCCTGAGGGCCCTGCAAAGATCCAGGCTTCATGAGAGGTGCAGGCAGACGTCTAGCAAAGGAAGAGCCACGTTCTGCCCAAAGGCTGCAAGAGGGGCGAGCAAACTGCACTCAGCTTTGGCATGCACACGGTTCCTTCCACCACAAGCACATTTTTCAAGGTGCCCCAAGACTCTTGTGCCAGTTTTGCACTCACCCAGTTTGGCAATGCTGCTCTTGGCTCTCTCCAGACACTGCTCCGCCACTTTCAGCATCTTGGCTGTGTCGGGCATCACCACGTCACCGCCATCTGCCATACAGGAGGGAGGGAGGGAGGGCAGGGAAAGTTGTCTACTTTGGTCTGACTCTGATCACAAGTAGAAGCAATACCCACCCCTAACAAGATGGGAATGGAACATCCGAGGCCTACCTCATGGTGCTCTGCCAGAGGCACATGGCAGGTAGTCGGTCCCCCTAAACCAAGCATTTTGCTCCTCCAACACCCCAGGCAGAGTTTCTCCCCAAGACCCATTCTCCAAGAACCTTTACTGATATGCCAGGGCCTGCATTTGGGAGCCCCTGCTTGCAAAACATGAATTCTGCCACGGAGCCCCCATCTTCCCCACTGCAAGTTACCCCTCCCATAGGGGCTGCCACTAGAAGAGGGCAGAAAGTGGATGCATTCTCCCCCCCCCCCGCCTGCTTCACCCTTGGCAAGAACAGGCCCCATGCAATGCTCCCTCTAAGCTGTGGAGTCTTGTGAGCAAAAATTCTACTTTGTGAGCTACTGGTATTAAAATTGTGAGTGAGCGATTTGGCTCCTGCATGAGTTAAGGCAAAAATGTGTGAACCAGAGGCTAAAAAACTGTGAGCTAGCTCACACCAACTCAGCTTAGAGGGAACACTGGCCCCATGCATTCGGCAGATCTGCCCAGGACAACCACACGTGGTAACCCATGGCAGGACCAGAGCAACGAACCAAGGCCCTTTTTCCAGGGCCCTCTCTGTTCCAGAGAAATCCCAGAGGCAGAGCCACAAAAGCCTGCTTGCTCAGGCACACTCCCTCAGGAAGCAGCCCTGTCTACCCTGCAGCTGCAGGTGGACAGGGTTGAAATGGGGGGGGGGGGGGCTCATGGCGACCTGAGTTCTTAGAAAGGGTCCCAGGTGGGTTTCTTCCTACTAACCTCCCCCCTCCATGCAAAAGACTTTATGAGGGCCCAGATATTCAGAGCCAGCTCAAGGAGACACAGATGCCCACTGTTTTTAGGCCATGCCTTCCAGCCACAGGAAGCTGGTGGTACCAACCAGAGAGTGCTCTTAGTAGGGGGACCCCCCCCCCCCCAATGTTGTACCTTTTGCAGTGGCTGCCTCTTCCAGCAAAGCCTGGGAAATGAAGCTGATGCTCTTCAGGTACTCCACATAGGCCTCCTGCCAACCAGAGGGAGAAACAGGGGGCTCCACTGTTGCTCAGCGGCCATGTGGCTGGACACGTAAATGTCCTGCCACTTACAGGGCCCACAGGGCACGTGGCTGGCAGTCTCCTTTAGTGCGGCACCAAGGATACTGGGCAGGGGCCCCTCTGAGACAGCTGACTACTTGACCGGGACCCCTGAAATTCATTCATTCATCTGCACCCCACTTTTCGCTGCCATTTTATTCTCCCACCGACCCTGTGAGGTGGGTTAGGCTGACTGAGCGTGAGTGGCCCAAGGCCACCCCATGGGGATTGGAACCCCGGCCTCCCAGAGGCCTGCCCACTTGACCGGCCGGACCCCGGCAGCAAAGCCGTGCAGAGGGGCAGGGCAGCCCATTGCGCAGGAGGAGAAGGCCGGAGGAGATGGAGCAGGCGGCGCCGGGCCCGGGAAGACCGGACCCAGCCAGCCAAAGGAGGAGCGAAACCAGCTGGGTCGATGCCTGCCTGGCAGGCAGCCAGGAGCCGGACCACGGGGGGGCTGGGGCTGCGGCGGTGCCCCTGCCCTGCAGTCGGGCTGCCCTGCCCGGGGGCAGCGGGGGGGGGGCTGCGCAGGGTCCCTTCCTCCCCCTCCCCACCCCACCCC